GGGGTCCGCCCTGGGACGCGAGTGCAAATGTTGTCTGGAATGAGGGGGGGCTTGACTGGCGTAGTTCTGAGGCTTCCGCATCTGTGAGCTCAACTGGGCCCCGGTCTCCTGAGAGCAGCGCTGGTTGCAAGTCAATTGACACAGCGTCACAATGCTCTCTTCTGGCTGGGGTTGCTGGCGGACTTTATTTGCTTTCTATTCCGCCCACGCTCTGCACGTAGAAAACCCATGCTCTCCGTGCATTCGTCTCACCCCCGTTTCCTCGGAGCGATTTCAAATTTTCAGCAGGCAAAGGGATTTCTTGACCGAAGCCAGATGTCATGTCCCCACGGGGGCCCATGGTTCCAGGCCGGCTTGGTCATGTTAGTCGAGGGGATGCGCACAGGTACGTGGCATGGCAGTTTCAGGGGGGATAGGGCAGCTAGTGGGGTGGTCACCTTCGTCTCGGATTAGCTTGCTCCCTTGTTCCCGCATGCAGTTCCTATCGAGGTGGTGGACGGGAGGGTCCTCCTTCTGCGATGTTCGCGGCCTGCTGGGGACTGCGCGGTTGTGAATGTGCATATGCCTATGACATGTGATGGCGCCACCAAGTACAAGCAGCATCTAACACATCTATGATAAGTTACACCCCGCAGCACACAGCATGGTGCTGGTGGCAGGCGACTGGGCTTCGACCCGATGGACGATGCGAGGTTTTCAGCGGGGGGAGAGTTTGGCCCTGGGGAGCGGTCGCAGCGCGACGCCTTGCACGATCGCTGCAGCTCCCGGCGTGGAACATGTCTGCCTGGCCCGGCTTGCAGGGGCAAAGTCGGCGGCGAGCTTAATAGGGTTTTTTTTCCATTCCCTCTGCTGGAATCGTCAACGAGTTGGTTGTCGCTGCCCACGCAATTGGGGCCCTGACCTACACAGGGGCGCCATCGGACCACATCCCTGTTGCCGCGACGATCGTGCGCCCCAAGCTTCGAAGCCCATTCGATGCCCCGAAATGGATTTGCCAGCGCGCTTCGTATAGGAGGATGGCTTCGGGACAGGTGCGCGGGCGCACCCTTCCAGAGGACTTGCCGGACCGCGCCCGGGAAGTGACCTCTCTTCTCGGCACAATGGCGACCGAATCTCGGCAGACTCTGAAGCAGCGACAGGCATCGATTGATGCGGAGCGTCCCAATTTTGTTATCGCGGCACTCCGAGGCTTGATGGGGCACCAGCGGTAATGTGCTATGCGTGCGTCGCGCTGCCATGATGCCTTCTTCTCATCCTGTGATATTGGCCGCGATATCTGCGCTGACCAGGACGGATTGCACTATCAAGTTGCTGATTTGCAGAAGCGGCGGATTGAGGAGGAGCTGGAGGACGCGTGGCAGAGCGCGGAGACTGAGGGGGTCAAGGGCAACCAGGAGAAGAGTCTGTTTGCGTCGAAGAGAGGTTGAGCGCCGACGACGCCGCATCGAAGCTGAGGCGGGCGCTGGGCGAAAACAGTTTCCCCCTGCCCGAGCCCCGACGACGCGGTCCGCGCGCTGGCCGCGCTCTGGGAAAGATGATTCGCCGACTGATGATGGCGCAGGTGTTGTTCCCCTTGGGGGTTGCAGGGTCAGTGGAACGGTTTCCCCGCCGAAGGTGGAATCGCCCGCTGATCAGCGTGCCCTTGTCTCGAGGCCCCCTGGCTCTCTCCTGGCTCTTCGACGCGAGCGCTGGGATTCTCTCGGACGCGCGCGCAGTGGCCTTGATGAGGGTGCCCCGCGGGCGGCCGTGTAGCAGCAGCGCGGGGGCTTCAAGGGCCCCGACATCTTCGGCGACGCGGTCGAGGTGGAGAAGTGACGCTTTTTACAGTCTACGCGGGTGTTTGACAGAGCAGGCATTTCATTCGCTGATTTTTGGGCTGCTTGCCCATCGATTCTCGCGGCGTGGGTTTCCCAGGTTTTTAGGCCCCCGGGCATCCCGCGGGCCGTCGTTGGATTCTGCGTGACCCCATTGCAGCGACTAGTTTTGCTGGGGCAGCGGAGATAAGATTCCCTGACGTGCTCGGAGCGAGGCAGGTGGGTCCATCGTCGATGATTATTTTCTGTCTGGCGTTTGGTCCATATCTCAGAAGTGTCGAGTATCGGCGCGCACCCTGGCTTGATCTGGAGCTTGCGCACGCCGGTGATTGCTGCGTCGTTACGCGGAACATCCTGGCCGATCTGATGCCCGCGCTGCTCCTGCTGGACTTCTGAGCATTCGCCATCGGCCTCGCGCTGAGCATTGGCAAATGCTGCGCGCTCGTCGCATGCGCGGCGCTGTCGCACGAGCGACTCTCTGAGCACGCGAGGATGGGTGGGGCGTCGTTTTCACTCTGCGCGATTCGGGTCCCACGCGCTGTACCTCGGGTTTTTGCTCAGGCCTACGGCTCACGCTGTGGCGCGGCGGAAAGTCTCGATTCAGTTCTGGCAGAGGGCGCGACGGCTTCGGCATTTTACCATGGGGCCCCCAGCGACGACTCGGCGTGTCTGTTCGCATTTTGCGTCGGCGCTCCAATCGCGGCTTCAACACTTTCGGGTCCCCCTAGAGGTTGCCGGACAATATCGGGAGGCAGTGCAGATCTCCATGGTTGGCCATAGGCATGCTCTGAACCATTGTGAGCTCACTCAGCTACGAGGTCTGTGGATTCCGGTTGAATTCGCGCATGCGCGAGGATGGGCGCTGCGGAAATTAGTTTTCCCAACGTTAGGCGGGCGCACGGGGCGATCCAGCATGGGGCGCATGAAGATCTACGAGGGCATCGGGGTCTTTTGGCTCTGGTCCGCCTGCAGGTTCGCATCAGTCGACGTCTCGCGGAAGTTGGCCCCCGTCTTGCACCGCCTTGGGTCGCGGCCCAGAGGTCTTGAAAAGGTTGCGTGTAGCCACCTTCCAACTGGTGTGTTCAGGGTTATTCTCCATGTGGTGTGCACCTCGGCCAGGTTTCATTGCGAAGACAGGGGATGCTGTTTCCGTTGTGCGGGTCCCGCCGACATGCGCCATTGCGAATGTTTCCCAGCGTTCAAGTCTTTAGCATCCCCTAGGAATCCAGGCGTTCAAAACGTGCGCGGACGATGGCATGTTCTCCAGCGTGATGATGGTCGCGGCTATCTATCTTATCTCTTCTGGACATATGTGGGGCTGGATCGCGATATCGCTGTCGATGCTGTACTCGATGCATTTATGCAAATCAGTGCCCCCCACCGTCTTGGTTCACTTCCAGGTGTGTCATGCGCGGCTGAGGCCACTTGCCAGTCGCTATCATAAGGTAATCATCGTTTTCTGCAGCTGCTCCTGGTCCTCGGGCACCAGGGTCATGTCGTTCTGCGCGGGCCCCTTGTTTTGTTTTATTTATTCTTTTTTTGAATTCGGCTGTCATCCTGGAGTGGCACCCTCTCGCCATGGAGGTGGTGCGCCATATGCGCTGTGGCCTTGCGCGGACTCCTGGGAGCGCGCGGGTAGCAGCGGCCGGTCCGTTTGCCCTCCGGCCCCAGGTACTAGTACAGTGTAAGTCGCGCCGCCTAGCCCTCGGCGGCGACCCATTTCCTGGAGTCTCGTTTTGGCCTTCCCACTTGCGCTCTTGCGTCTTGCTCCTTACTTCTGCCGCGAGACCTTGCATCAGTGCCCCTGGTCGCTGGCCCTTGGGGTCCTGTGGCCCACGTTAAGTCATTCTTCTTTGCGCCGCTGTGTCTGACTTGTTTGGGTTTGCTCCCTTTGCGTATTGGGCTCTGCGAATTGTTGTCTGATGGCTTCATGGGTCCTAGATCCTCCCCATTCAAATCCTTCTCCGTCCCTGCCCCTGCGGCTGTCTCCTTCGCCTGCGGGGTGGTGCTGTGCTGGGGGCATCGTGCTGTCCCTCGTGCTGCCCCCTGCTGCTCGTGCTGTTCGTCTATGGTGCTACTGCCGTGCGCCCCCTTCTGCGTGCCCCTCTGCTGCTGCTCCGCGGCGCCGCTGTTGCCGCCTGCCGCGCGGCGGCGTTTGGCTGGGCATGTCTGTCTGGCTGCAACGTGGGCAGGTGAGGGAACGAGCGGCGGCGCGCGCGAAAAAGCGCGGCCTCCTCCTCCTCCTCCTCCTCCTCCTCCTCCTCCTCCTCCTCCTTGTCCTCCTCCTCCTTGTCCTCCTCATTGTCCTCCTCCTCCTATTCCTCCTCCTCCTCCTCTTCCTCCTCCCCCCCGTAACAGTCCTCGCGGGCTTCGGCAGGCGCCCCGAACCGTCCAGGGAAGCCTCGGCACCCCGAGCCCGGGGCGCTCTGCGCCCCATGCGCGCCGCCAGAGGACTGCTCGGGGGGGGTAGCCGGAGCCGGGGGCCGGGTGGCCACACCGCGTGGTGAGTCAAGTCGGTGTTTTCCCCGCGCAGCTGTCTGAAAGCTATGAGGGTGCCAGACCAGATGCTTGCAGCGCAGGGTGGCCCTGGAGTTGGTGCCCGCTTCTGGCAGGAATCCCCGCAGCGGCTCTGGCGAGGTCGCAGCGGATCTTTGATGTTTTGTTATCTCATTAGTTTTCTCAACACGTGTGCCGTGAAGCTTTCCAGATGTTTTCCCTGAGTTTCCAGAGCTCCTTCGAAGGACCTTCCAGGAGCTTGTGTCGCCTCGCTATCCGGCTTTTTGTACACCACAAGTATTGATTCGTGTTTTCGCCGATCGGCGCGGGCCCCGCCCCCCCTTCTCCCCGACCCCCCTCCCCCAAGCCAGATGTTGGCTTCTGTCGACTGGTCGGACCCCTATCCCCCAGTTTGCTTGCCCGACAGGTAAGAGCAGGTCGAGTAAACACCAGCCCAAACCCTGACCCCCCCGTCTCCCCCACCCTCACCCAGTCTTCGGCCAGATTTCGAAGCCCAGGATAAAACAGAACACGCCAACCAGTGGGGATGCGGAGTCACCGCACGGTCTTCGGACTCGGGCCGTTCTCCGAGGACGTGTCGGGCGATTGTGGCCCCGAACGGAGGCCAGCTGGGGGCTTGCCTCGAGGGGCGGTCAGTGCGCACCCCCCCCCGAGCATGTACCCTTCGAGGACGTGCCCGGCCTGAAGGCGGCGGCGGAGCCTGGCTGGTGTTTCGCGAGCGACCTGTCGGGCAAGGCGCGCCTCGCGTGGGCGGCGTCGCAGGGCGCCGCCCAGCCGGCCGAGGCGGGCTGGCTGGCCGAGGCCGAGGACGGGTGGCAGGGGGCCGCGGCACCCGTGCCGCTGACGGTGGCGCACACCGAGGCGTGGCGGAGAGCATCTGCACACCTCCTCTGATGGGTTTCTCCTTCCACCACCACCACCACCATGAGTTGGAGGGGGAGGAGGTCCTCATCCACCGCCTCGTCCTCCTCCTCGTTCTCTTCGTCCTCCTCGTCGTCCTCCTCCTTCCCCTCTCCAACTTATTGGTTGTGGTGGTGGGAAACATGCCCATCATCCTTGCCTGGCCAGGATGGCCTTGGTTTGGAGCTGGCTGGGGGGCCGAGGGGGCCCAGCATCTGTTCTGGCCAGCAGGAAAGGGAGCTCCGAATGAGATGCCTCGCCGCCGCGTCTGGGTGCGGCTTGAAAAACGGAGCAGTTCCGATTCCAGGGAGGGGTTGGGGGACACATGTTGAGCGAATTTGCCCCTCATCCCCCTTCTTGCCCTCTTAACTCTGGTCCGATTCTCTCTGGGCTGATCCAGCTCAGCCCCACCGGCCGCGTCCAAGCCTTGGCTTCGGCCGCGAGGGCGTACACATTATGCCAGAGCCCAGGATGGCCCTGGACAGCCACGGAGGTGTGTAGAGATGTCATTTTCGTCCGAGGCGCCGCGCAGCCCCGAAGATGATGCCCGCCCCCTGGACTGCCTGCTTGGCGCTCGGCGGGGAAACGCGTGTGGGACGCAGCATAACGGAGTCATCTTCGCCGACATTGGCGCGCAGGCTGCCCGCGCATGGTCGCAAGCAAGCGCCCTCTTCTCCACGCGGTGGCCGCGTTGGCGGCTTGGGAAAGCTTGGGAAAGCCGCCGCGCAAGGTCGCTATGCCATCTCGCGCAAGGCCCGCTTCTTTTCGTCGTTTACGTGCCGATAATACCGATGATCTCTCCTCGTTCTCGTCTTGCTCAGAGGAAAATCCTGGAGGCCTCGCGCGTTGCGTAATAGTTGTATTATCTAGTCCACACGTCAGCTCCGTAAGCTAGGGCCATGCTCCAGCGTCAGTCCGACGTAAATCCGACATCATTCCGACGTGAACCCGACGTGAACCACACGTAAATCCGGCGTGGATCCGACGTACGTCGGGTCTCAAGTTGCCGCGCGAGACCTCCCGGAGGTTCCCCAGAAGTCTTGTGTCTAGCCTCCCAGAGGGGCCTCCCCCGCCACGGCCAGAGTCGCGTCGGGATCCTGGCTAGAGCGCACCACGGGAGGTGCCCAGCACGGTTCTTTCGATGTTCGCGAGCGGTTTTCCGGATATCCATTTTCGGTCCGTTGGCGACTTCTGCATGCACCGTACCCATGGCATTAATCATGTCGTTCCTCGCGATGTTCATCTGCGTCAGTCGTGCGCTACGGTGTGATGCACTTGACGTTCTGCTGGCTTGCCAGCTGTTGTGTCAGGTCTGCATGCCGCGTGTTGGTGTGGCCACCGATGCGCCGACAAATAGTCGTTCTTGCAGTGGCGTGCCCTGAAGAGGATGCAATCACGACACGTTGTGGTTCGTCGGCTTGGGGGTAGCGGTATCGGTGTCTTATTGTTCCCCCAGGCGCCCTCGAGGCCACGTACGAGGCACTGACGCACCCTGACACGCAGCAGTGCATGCAGTCGGCCGCCCAGCAGACTTGCGGCCTCGCAAAGGATCGCCCAGAGCGTAATTTGGGCATTGAGACCACGCCCACTCAGACAAGTCGATTGAGGAACTCTGCACAGGTTCACTCGAAATTGGAGTACGAGCGTGCCAGTGCAGTTTGCAGTTGTTCTTTCGCGGTGCAGCGCGAACCCCGTCTTTTTCAAATGTCGAGAGTGCGCAAGGGGCACGCCTCTTGCGCGCGCCCCTTGCAAACCAGGACCCTGAAAACTCCACCTGAAGAGGACGAAGGTTGGAGAATGGAGAGTGTCTCGGCCCGCGGCCTCAGCTCCCTCGGGCGCGCCAGCGTCGTGGTTTGGCAAGGTCCCCGCGTGACCCTCTCAGTGGGGTCCGGCCACAGTAGATGGGGTCGGAGGCTGCGCCGCACGGGCGATGCCTCGGCGGTGCGGCCCGATGTGGGACCCGATCGTTCTCCTCGTCGATGGCTTCCGATGCATCGGGCGGAGCAGCGGCGTTGCGGCGGCGACCCTCCGACAACCAGCGGCTCAGACCCCCTCTGGGAGGCCTCCACGGCAGGAGCTCTGGGCGCACGCCTGGGTCGCGATCTCCGCCCACGCCCAGCGGCTCTGCGCCGACCGGGGGGCTGCGCACGGCGCCGGGCCGCTCCAGCGGCCCGCGGCCCCCGCGGCCGCCGCGCGCCCGGCGGCCGACGAGGTCGCGGCGCCCGCGCCGCCCGCCGCCGCGGAGCAGCACGAGGACGCGGAGGAGGAGGAGGAGGAGGAGGAGGAGGAGGAGGAGGAGGACGAGGAGGAGGAGGAGGAGGAGATGGAGGAGGAGGAGGACGAGGAGGAGGAGGAGGAGGAGGAGGGGAGGAGGAGGAGGAGGAGGTGGAGGAGGAGGAGGATGCGGAGGAGGAGGAGAAGGAGGAGGAGGAGGAGGAGGAGGAGGAGGAGGAGGTGCCGGTGCGACTCCTCCTCGCCTCGTTTGCGCCTTCTGCGGGACCTCCTGGCATCGGCTGCACGCAAAGGGGGACCCTTCGCCAGAGCGGCCATCTGGTGCAGGCCCACAAGGGGGCCCCTCCAGCACTGTTTGATCCCCTCGCGGTCGGTCCCTGAAAGCCGCGCACAGGAGGTCACTCCTGCCCAGGGTGGCTCCTGCGAGTAGGCGATGGCAGGCCCCCGTCGCCAAGGCTCGATTCGCCTCGAAGTCCTGGTCAGGGAGCGCCCCAGGAGGAGCCACGGGAGCAGCGGTATGGCATGGGTGCCCTGTGGTTCCCCCACGAGGACGCGCTCTCGGCCGCCTCGGAGGTTGTCTCGGAGGAGCTGGACCAGGATCCGCGGGGGGCAGCGATTCAGTCAAGGCGCTGAAGCAGGCAGCACTCTGGGCTCAGGGGGGGCTCCAGTTCTGGGGACTTCTCTCGGGAGTGTGGGTCGGGGGAGTGGTGCGCGGCCGAGGCTCGCCGTGGTCCGAGGGAGCCAATCCGTTCCCTAGTCAGCGTTCCTCCCGGCAGCACGATGGCCGTACCCCACCGCCATCCTACAGGCCATGCAGCCCCCTCGGCGGACTAGACGCCATCCCACGGCCAAGGCACGGCCCTGGCGGTGGTGCGGTGGTGGTGCGCAGCCGCCGATCAGGAGACCGCAAGCATCACCGACGCGGACGCGGACGAGCTCGCCTCGGAGCTCGGGTGGGACCACGTGCAGCTCCCGGACGCGATCTGCGGGATCGTGGACGAAGTGGGCCACCGCAAGACGCGCGCGGCGTGATGGCCAGGCAGCCAGATGCGGCAGCGCACGGCGTGCCAGGGTCGCAGGCCTCTCCTCCCTCGGGCTCTCGGCCCCTCCGCGCAGCAGGTCGGTGTTCCTGCCCGTTTGGCCGAGGAGCGCGCACGGGCCTCCCACGCAGGGGGGGGGGGTGCGTGTGTGCGCTGCCTGGAGTGCGCGCTCCGCCCTTTTTTGTCCATGCCGGATGCCCGCGACGCAATGGGGGAAGGGAGCGCCAGGGTGGGCGCGACGACGTTTGGGTGGCCCCTTCTTTTGGCAGCATCAGCGAGCAGCGTCATGCGTGTGGCATGCGCTTGTCCAGTGGGGGCGCCGCCAGCAAAATGCAGTGGCTGGCGTGGTTCAGACACAGGGCTCGCAGGCAGGCGGCGTAGAATATGTACAATAGGTGCGGGAGGGTGTACAGAATGGGCCAAACTTCGACCACCACTACCATAGGTAGGGCGGGGGAGAAGGGAGGATGGGGAGGTCCTCCTCCTCCGCCTCCTCCTCCTCCTCCCTTTCCTCCTCATCCTCCTCCTCCTTTTCTCCTCATCCCAGAGGCTTGCGCCATCAGCCCGACCCGCGGAGGAGAGGATGCGGACGGTGTCGTGGGTCGCTCTCGGGCGCCCCAGGGGGGCGGACGGAGTGGAGGAGGAGGAGGTGGGGGGGAGGAGCAGGAGGAGGAGGAGGAGGAGAGGGAGGAGGAGGAGGAGGAGGAGGAGGAGGAGGAGGAGGAGCAGGAGTAGGAGGAGGAAGAGGAGGAGGAGGAGGAGGAGGAGAAGAGGAGGAGGAGGAGGAGGGAAAGAAGGAGGAGGAGGATGAGGAGGAGGAGGGGGGGAGGGGGGGAGGGGGGGGGGGGGGAGGAGGGGAGGAGGAGGAGGAGGAGGAGGAGGAGGAGGAGGAGGAGGAGTCCCGAAGCATGCCCCCCCCCCCCACGGGGAGCTCCGCTTAAGGCCCCAGCGTGCGCGCGCGCCTGCCGCTCCGCGCCCATGTCGGCGCACCCCTCCTCGCGCGCTCCGTGCGGTGCTCATCACGCGGGGAGCGCCATCTGCGGCCGAGGTGGGCGCGTCGTGTGCCCCTGGGCACGTTGTGTAACCCCAGGTGCCTCCACTTGCGGCTCCTGCAGGCGCCGACGCATGGCCCCCCCACGCCCACGTCGGCGCGTCCTTCGCACGCTCCATGCTCAAAGAGAGAGCTCCACCTGCCGACCCCGGGGTGCGGGCGCTTGCCCATTTCGGCATACTTCTCACCCGCTTCACGCCCCAATTGAACGCCACACGCACGGCTTCGAAGAACAAAAAAATGAATAGGCATAGACTGTCGAAGTTCCGCGTGGATTTCTTGGATCGGCGTTGAGAAGGCCCCCCTGGCGGCGCCTCCAGCTCCGCCCCTGGAGCGCTCCGCGCGCCCCCCGAAGCCCTTCGCCCATTGCACTCCCCACTCGTGTGGATCGTGCAGAGGTCCGCCTACGGCTCAGAAGAATGCCACACCCTTGGCAATACACACATACATATATATATATATATATACATATATATATATGTGTGCACACACATACATGTGTCCTCCATTCAAAGTGGACACAACAGCTAGCTGACGAGTGTGCCGTAATTCGTCCCCCCCAGTGCCCATCCTGGGGGTGGGCCAAGGTGATTCTCGAGGGAGCGGCCAACTCTGTCGTTATTTCGTCTTCGGCCGCCCTCCTTCTTTGGGCCAATCGCGTTCCCTGCCCAGACTGCTTGCCCGTGGTCAATTGCGATTGCCCCTCTTACCCCGCCGTGACTTGCGGCGACCAGATCAAACAGGAGACTAGCGAGTCTTCCTCGCTGTTGTCGGCGGGGTGGTGGCTGGTTCTGGTCAGCATCGGCTTCGTCCTGGGGCGCTTGCCCTTCGCAGGGGCCCACGGTGCCCACCACCCAGCGCGTGCCCGTCGGGCGACAGTGGCGGAGGCGGTCGAGGCGGAGCCGATTGCGGAGCAGGCTTGACAGCAGTTGGAGGCCATCGTGCTCAAGCGCCGTGGCCTCGGGGGCTCCCCTGGCCTGTGATGGCTGCCGCGGTTGGCGGCCCCTGGGTGTGCATTATAGTGACCCCGGACGATGATGACTACGACAAGGACACCGCGGTCGCGGCGGACATCATGAGGGTTGCGCGTGCCGCTAGGCATGCAGGGAGGGGTGCCGTCGTTGATCGGCGGCGCGGCGGCTCCTGCGCCGGTGCATCCTTTTCGTGCCCTGCCCCTGCCGGCTCGGCTCCTCGCCGCTATGGCGGCAGGAGCCCCCCGCTTGGGCTACGCGCTGCCAGTCGGGCCCTTGCAGCTGAACTCGGTCGGACGCCCGTTCTCGATCAGCGAGGGCACTCCTGTGGCAGCTGGCGGTCTCGATGAGGGCGACTTTTTCGTGGTGCGATACAACATGCCAGGGGCGGTCCTGTGGCACGAGCGGGTGGTGGTCTTCAAGTCTGGCCCACCGCCTGCCGTGGCCGGTCCGCCGGCTGCAGAAGGCCTCGCCGCCCTGGCCGCCGCTCTCGGAAGGGGGCGCGCCCGCAGGGGCCTCGGCGCCTCCCGCCGCGGCCGCCCCCGGCGGCGCAGCCGCGGCAGCAGGTGCCTTGCTGCCTGGGGTTACCACTGGTGCTGCCGCCGCTGGCACTGCTGGTGGAGGCGGAGCCGCTGCGGCTGCCACAGGGCCCGCCGCTGGAGGCGCCCCCCTCGTCGCCGGACCAGCGGGAGGTTTCCAGGCCGGCGCCGCAGGAAGACCCGCCAGTGGAGGGGCAGCTGCGGCCGTCGCTTTCGACTTGAGGGTGCAGCCCGCCGGGGTCGACGCTCAGGGGGTCCGCTACCGCGAGTTCAGGGCTGCTGTCTCGAGCTTCACGGTCACACCCTTCGCGGACTGGCCAGCGCGTGGGCTTCGGGCCGTCCCATGGGTGAGTAATTTCATCATCGCGAACGGGGGGTCGCCGGTCGCCAGGCACAACCGCCGGAAGGCGGAGGCTCGCCGTCAAAGGCTCGGAGCCCGGGGTGGAGGAGCACCTCCTCGTGTGCATGGCCTTGGAGACGGCCGCCTGCTATGATCAGTTGAACGTCACAGAGGTGGCGTATTTCGAGATGTTCGGGCGGTCTCTCCAGGTGCAAGAAGAAAGGCACCGAGACCGCATCATCGGGGCAGAAGATAAGGTCGACTCTCATCTCTTCATGGGCACAGACCTCGCGAGGGGCAACGTTTGCGTGGCCCCTGATCTTCAGGACTGGGTCGCGCAGAAGCTTGCCAAGGACGCTTCGGCGATGGAAGAGAGACGCAAGGCTCGGGAAGAGCGCAGTGCAAACCGCCAGAAGGGCCAGAAGAAGAACGGTAAGGATGGGAAGGGTGAGCGTGGGTGAGCTCCATCGTCGACGCCAGCGCGGGGGCACTGGCGCCGGACGGACACATGATTGAGCCCTCTCCGATCGATGCGCCACGGTCGGGCATGATACCTGGTGGCGCTGCCTCTGTTCGTGCCAGAGACATAGTTCCTCTCCCCTTGCTTCCCTCCTCCTCCAGGCTGTCCGCGATGCCGTTCTCGTGAGCAGGGGCGCTCGCCGACGCCATCGCAGGGCGAAGCGTTCTGTGGACTGGGCCAACGACGCTATCTCTTGTCTTAACAGTGCTTACGGCTTCGGGCCGGCCTCTCGCAGTGCGAACCCTACTTCTAGCCAGAGCAGCGACCTCAATCGCGAGGGTGAGCAGTTTTGCGAGGTCGGCCCCCCGCCCGCTGACCTCTCTGCTGTCGCGGGAGCCCTCAGTGATCTCTGCGCCGCTAGTGGTTTGGACGACTCTGCTGGAACCACTGGGCGACCGTTTTCCCGGACCTCGTCTTCTGGCCTGGCGAGGGCGCCCACCCAGTTCCATTGAGTGAGCTCCTCAGCCCTAGTGACTCCGGATGGATCAGCCGCGCCCGGGTGAACTTGCGAAGGCCCTCTGATGAGGCCCGGAGATGGATTCGAGAAGCTTGTCCTATGAGACCGTGCGTGGAACCGTTTTTTTTATGCTCGCCTCCTGCTCGACATGCTGCCTTTGTTCGCAGGCTGGTCGACTGGGGGATGGCCGCCATGCGGCTTGCCGCGGGCCGCCCCGCTAAGGTTGGTATTTTCTGCGTTGCCACACCCGCGTGGCGACTTGTTTTGTATATAAAAAAAGACAAAGACCCCTCTTGCCACCCACCCCCCCGCCGCCGCTGCCCTGGGATTTCGAGTCTCAGGGCTCAGGGCTCGGGCGTTTTTGTTGGATCGGGCGGCGTTGACAATTGAGTTTATCGAGCGGACCTGCCGGCAGAGCTTCAGGATTTCTCTGCCCCCCCCCCCCCCCCATCGATGCCGGAGGGAGTTGCTGGGCTTACGGAGGTTGAAGAAAACGATGTGGGCTCAGGGGCCACGCTGGAACCGGTCCTCACCATCCTGCCCACGGGGTGGAGTTGGGCCGTGCACATCGCCCAGTCCATGCTGCTGAATGCCTTGCGCAACGCGAGCATCTACGGGGTCGAACTGAGTCGCGGATGGCAACCCGGCCTCCTCGCCCGGCGATTTCTCAGGGGTTCGCGTCGCTAGATAAGTCGGAAAAACTTTGTCGTTTTTGGCCAGCGCCCCGATGCCGCGAACGCGACAGCGCCCCGAGTTCGCTCCTCCCTCGAAGCCGAGGGCCTCGTCGCCCATGATCTGAAGTCCGCCTCGAAAGACGCGTCTTTCCTAGAGCTGGAGCTGAATTCGGGACAGTGGCTTTCTATATGTCGGCCCGGCCTCTGGAGGCCGCGGCTTGCCTTGGAGGAGATCCCCCGGCGCGGTCGCGCCAGTCGGTCTCTTCTTCAGGCGGCGATCGGGCACGTTACCTGGGCAGCTTTACTTCGGGGGGAGGTCCTGAGCTTATTGAATGACGTCTACGCCTATATCGAGAAATGTCAAACCGATGTCGCCTACCTCTGGCCTGGTGTTCGCAAGTAACTATGGAGACAGCGATGCGCCCTCCCTCTTTGCACCG